AGAAAGAGTAATGTGGGCCAAAACGCGTGCTTCTATAAAGGATCCAAGAGCTTTATAAAGGAAGTAGTTTAAACATGCTTTTGTCAACGAGATAGAAACTTTAGAGAAAATCTCAATTCCATCAGTAATCGAACGTGCACATGCGACACATGCGATGGAAAATGAAAAAAAATTAATACGTAGTAAAATAAGGAATAACAATTCAGAGAAAAGACACATGAGCCAACATATACTCGGGTCTTTTCCTCTTCCATGCTTCAAATGGACCCTCAAAAGTCCCAAAGGACGTCACACAACCGTGCAAAATAAAATCAAAGCCCAATCAATCCAAAAAAGGCAACAAAAAAAACTGCAAAATCTCCCAAAACGACGTCGTCATTCTCGTCTTTGTCGTCGTCGACACAAGAAACGTCGTCGACAACTCACCACGCCCGACACCAAAGCCACCGACACCAGGGATGCCGACAATCGGCCCGTCACGGAACCGACGCGGATGCCCAAAATCGTCACTGAGGTCGCCAAGGGCCCAAGCCGGGTATCGTGGCTCAGCCGACGCGTCACGGGATCGCGACACCGACACCGACGTCGACGATGCCGCCACATCGCGTCGATGGCGGCGGTGGTTGTGAATGCCCATACCGCCACGCGGCGGCGAATTTCTGCCGCCGCTGCCTCTCAGCAGGGTAACTGGCAGCAAGGTCAACTTTTGGAGCATGTACCTAGCTCTGCAGCTGCTGTCCAAGTTGTGACGCACAGCGGGTTAGTAAAGGTATTAGCAGTTGGTTCATTTTTCGTTCGTCCCCAAATATTCAGAGAAAAAGGGGCCAGAAAACCCGAAAGAAGAAAGAGAAAAAAAATTGAAGTTGACAGGAAAAGTCACGCACAGGAAAATGACTCGCGAACAAAAACGGCGCGTCCCAAAACAGCTCAAGGCCAAACACGCACAAAAAATCGTGGACGTCCACAGATTGTGCAAAATTTGGGCATGAAAATACTTTTACTGCACACATTGGCAGGCACGAAGAAATGTCCACCAGTTTGGGACTGAAAGACGATGTAAATTGTAACCATTATTTCAATTTCGTTCATAAAATTAATACATTTTTTCACAAAATAAAGGCTTCCAAAGAAATACTCGCATATTCATGAGCTAGTAAGTGAAACCCCGAGATACGGACGTAATTGGTGCATCATGAGTGTCCACCAAATCGAAATGTACCTAAGTCGAGTCTTGTTTTCCCATAGACTTACATTATATAATTTTTAATCGGTGTTTTGCAGAAGAAATATTCTTCAGAATTCCCTGAAAAAAATTGTTTGCCACTTGAATTTGAATAAGTGAATACATTTTCAACTCAATAAGAACATTTTGAGCATTGAATAGTGTATCTCTGCACTGTACACTGCAATTTTGGCATCTACAAAAATAACATTCAAGTGAAAAAAGTAGAAGTCCCTCTATGCTGTAGGTAATTTTTTAAATTAGCTAATTGGATGGTAATTTGGTGAGAAGAATACCCAAGACCTTTTCTTAAATCAATTTTAGGGTTGGAAATATCTGTGTCTTGTTATTTGGCCTGAAATGTATTTCCAATTTTATCGCAAAATGTCCCTATGTCGAGTCAGTGTCCTCATGTCGGGCCTTATTTATTGATTTTTTCTGGGAAAATGAGTGTCCCTATGTCGAATTGTCCGCATGTGGGGGTCTCACTGTATTTCAAACCGCATCCAGCTTTTGAGCCTTAATTTAACCGCCGCCGAAAAAAAGAACTTTGACGATGATGCGCAGACAAAACCTGCAAATTTCAACCTTAGGAATTTTCAACTGAGAAGAAAATCATACTTTCAGCCACCGAAGATTTCAAACTCACAAATATGCTGAGTTGAACGTCTCGGCTTGTATAATTTTACTTTTATTGTATCTTTTTTCTCAAGTTACGCATCGCCTAGGCCGCAGAATATTTTCACGCAACTTGAAAAAATGTCGCCTTCACGCAACGTGACTAAAGTAATTTAATATAACGTACTGACACATTGTGTGACACTAAAAAACAGGTTTTTTACAAGTACGATTTTCTGCTGATGGGAACCTCTTCTGAAAAAGCACCGTTTCTCAAAACTGGAATGCTTCCGAGTCATTTTTCACCATCAATATAAATCAATGCAGAGAATATTTTAGAAGAACTTACTCGATCAAACCCAAATGCATAATTGGTCTTGCACTAAGAAACATTCCCGCGCAAGTTTTGTTCTGGGACGCGCTCATTTGTTCTTGGCCACAAAAAAAAACCTCGATTGAATTGCAAGAAAAACCTTTTCCCCCACTAAAACTGGAAACGAAAAAACCCGACCAACAGAAGATATTCACAGAATGAAGCACAAAAATGGCAAAAATCCCCACACAAAATTCAGAAACCCCAAAACGATGGAATTGAACACCCGCAATAAACTTCATAACTCGTGATAATGAAGTACTTTTGCGTAATTCTCTTAAACAAATAATGAGCGTGGTTTTAAAAAGAGCCAGTCGCCATAAGGAATTTCTAAAAACAAATCAATTAAATAGATTTATAGTCGGACATTTTTCTAGCATGATTTCTCATTCAAGTCAAACCAATAGAACACAATTGCAATTGAAAAATATTGAATAAAAATCGGAAAATGCTTCGAATTTAAGTCAGATCCACAATACAGTACTCTAAAATTCAAGATGAAAATAAAATTGNCGCCGCCGCTTAAAGACGGCGGCGACGGAGAGTCGTCCCATTGACCGTCGTTCCAGTTGAAAACCTCGTACATGGATCGAGACGTCGACGACAGGTTCAACACTGCGTGTCGCCCAATCATTTCCATATAGCAGTTGGTTCATTTTTCGTTCGTCCCCCAAATATTCAGAGAAAAAGGGGCCAGAAAACCCGAAAGAAGAAGAAGAAAAAAAAATTGAAGTTGACAGGAAAAGTCACGCACAGGAAAATGACTCGTGAACAAAAACGGCGCGTCCCAAAACAGCTCAAGGCCACAGACAAAAACAAAATCGTGGACGTCCACGGATTGTGCACAATTTGGGCAGAAAACTACTGTAACTGCACACATTGGCAGGTACGAAGAAATGTCTACTAGTTTGGGACTGAAAGACGATGTAAATTGTAACCATCATTTCAATTTCGTTCATAAAATTAGAACACTTTTTCACAAGAATAAAAAGCTTCCGAAGAAATACTTGCATATTCATGATCTAGTAAGTGAAACCCCGAGATGCCGACGTAATTGGTGCATCAAGAGTGTCCTCAAGTCGAAATGCCCCCAAGTCGAGTCTTGCTTTCCCATAGACTTACATTATATAATTTTTAATTGGTGTTTTGCGGAAGAAATATTCTTCAGAATTCCCTGAAAAAAATTGTTTGCCACTCGAATTTGAATCAGTGAATACATTTTCAACTCAATAAGAACATTTGGAGCATTGGATAGTGTATCTCTGCACTGTACACTGACATTTTGGCATCTACAAAAATAACATTCAAGTGAAAAAAAGTAGAAGTCCCTCTATATTGGAGGTAATTTTTTTTTAATCAGCTAAATGGATGGTAATTTGGTGAGAAGAATACCCAAGAACTTTTCTTACACAAATTTTAGGGTTGGAAAAATTCGTTTCTTGTAATTCGGCCTGAAATGTATTTCCAATTTTATCACAAAATGTCCCTATGTCGAGTCAGTGTCCTCATGTCGGGCCTTATTTATTGATTTTTTCGGGGAAAATAAGTGTCCCTATGTCGAATTGTCCGCAGGTCGAGGCGTCCGCATGTGGGGGTCTCACTGTATTTCAAACCGCATCCAGCTTTTGAGCCTTAATTTAACCGCCACCGAAAAATAAAAGACGAATTTTGACGATGATACGCAGACTAAACCTGCAAATTTTAACCTTAGGAATTTTCAACTGAGAATCAAATCATACTTTCAGTTTTTAAAGATTTCAAACTCACAAATATGCTGCGTTGAACGTCTGAACTTGTATAATTTTACTTTTATTGTATCTTTTTTCTCAAGTTACGCATCGCCTAGGCCGCAGAATATTTTCACGCAACTTGAAAAAATGTCGCCTTCACGCAACGTGACTAAAGTAATTTAATATAACGTACTGACACATTGAGTGACACTCAAACAGGTTTTTTACAAGTACGATTTTCTGCTGATGGGAACCTCTTCTGAAAAAGCACCGTTTCTCAAAACTGGAATGCTTCCGAGTCATTTTTCACCATCAATATAAATCAATGCAGAGAATATTTTAGAAGAACTTACTCGATCAAACCCAAATGCATAATTGGTCTTGCACTAAGAAACATTCCCGCGCAAGATTTGTTCTGGGACGCGCTCATTTGTTCTTGGCCACAAAAAAAAAACCTCGATTGAATTGCAAGAAAAACCTTTTCCCCCACTAAAACTGGAAACGAAAAAACCCGACCAACAGAAGATATTCACAGAATGAAGCACCAAAATGGCAAAAATCCCCACAAAAAATTCAGAAACCCCAAAACCATCGAATTGAACAACCGCAATAAACTTCATAACTCGTGATAATGAATTACTTTTACGTAATTCTCTTCAACAAGGAATTTCTAAAAAAAAAATCAATTAAACAGATTTACAGTCAGACATTTTTCTCGCATGATTCCTCACTCAAGTCAAAGAAATACATGGACAATTGCAATTGAAAAATATCGAATAAAAATCGGAAAATGTTTTGAATTCAAGTCAGATCAAGAATACTCTAAAATTCAAGATGAAAATATCATTGAAGTTTTGCTCCCATCAACTGGTGTTCAAAAAATACGTACAGCGAAATTTTTCGCACATCAGACTCGCCTTGAAAAAAATTTAAGGGTTCGAATAACTTAACATTTTTTTGCATACAAAGCCTGGCAAAGCAAATGAAAATCCTCAATGAATAAAATTTAAATATCTCCGAAAAATGTAGCCCGAAACTTCGTCATTTATTAATTGAATCAAACGTCTCTCGGGTCTAAATAAAATAAATTTTCATTATAATCACTTTTTCGGAGTCTCGAAGGCTCAATTGCAATTTTCTACACCGTTTTCATCTAAAATTACTTCTCTCGTAGCAAACTATACCGCAGACAGAATCGATCTTCTTTTCTCCAAACTTTTCAAAATAAAATCGAAAAACATGAAAAACTATCCCAATTTCTCCTCCCTTCACTGAACAACTACGTTGAATCTCTCAAACGCGGCGGCCATCATGAAGAAAATCGCGTTCATTCTTGGAAAACAATTTCACAAAAAACCAGTCTACCACAGGACATCATAGAAAAATCACGAAATCCGTGATTCCACTCTCAACAAGCAGTGCCAATGTGCTCGTGTTCACACCACTTGATCAAATGATTTTAGTACCGATCTTGGGTACAATCAATGAATAGCAAAGTGGGATAAAAATCAACGAGTGAACGAAAAAGTGCAAATTTGAAAGAAAAAAAGAAGAATGCGGCAAATGACAGCTTCTCATGCTGGTACATTTGAAGTAACGGTTACGAGGCGATTCGAATTCTTCAAATGAAGTCATAAAAAATGAGTTGAAAAATGAATACGACCATGAAAATCCGCATGACGGAAAACGGCGGAGTTTTAAAATCACGTTGCTATGGGTTATTCGTCAGAAATACAACCATTCCATATTTCCATGATTTTTTTTCGTTTACAACGACTCACGAAAAAGAGGGAAAAGAGTTTCCGTCAGCTAGAATAAAACAAAAATTTCCAAAATAAAAAAAAGAGATCAGTGAGAGGAATAAATTACTGTACCACGAAATTGCTCACGGCTCAAAAACACATCATAACAAACCCCCGTTTCGAAATTACCGTACATTTTAAATCGGTAGAAATCTTACAGAAAGCGCCAAAAATGTGGACACCATTTTCTCTTTCAAATACTGTAGTAAAACATCGTATTCGTTGAAATAATTTACTCAATTTTGTTGTTGTTGAAATTTTCGATAATGCCTTCGAAAGCACACATTTTTACTCCTTTCGCGATATCGTCTGGCATATTTGACAAAATTAGAATTGTCCCTCAGAATGTTTCAGATTTCTCATGCCGAATTCGCCACGGCAAATCGGATAAAAAAATCATCCTCAATTTTCCCTCTGAAACTGAAGGCAAAAAAATAATTGGCTTACGATTTTGCATTCATCGACAGACTCGAGTTTATATTCTGCAGTACTGTACGCAGTAGATCTTCGTTTCTTTTCGGTAAATTTGAAAATGGCAAAGCTCGATTAAAACTGGACTATCAGAAGTTTTAACGTACGGTATACTACTGCACAGTATTGTACTCGAATCTTCTCTCCAGACTTCATAAGAAATTGATTGATTGATACACGTATTTTTCCCCCTGAAAATGGGATGATGAATAAATCATAAATTCGCCTCTGAAACTGAAGAAAAAATAATAAGCAGCTTGACATTTGGCAGACTTGAGTTTAAATTCAGGGATACGCAGGGGATCTTCCATTCTTCACGCTGAATTTGAAAAATGGCAAAGCTCAATTAAAATTCCAAAACGATGAGAATTACAATTTACAGTACAGTACAGCACAATATCGCATTTGATCCTTTTTCAGACACCAGAAGGAATAAATTGATTGATTGATTGACTGACACACGCAATTTTTTTTTTTTTTTTTTTGCCACGCACCTGGTCGATTCTGATGATGCGGCGCAGTCGCCGGTCGATCAGCACCCACGCCGATGGCCGCCGTCGTGGCGGCCGGGTGATACGACGCAGACATGACGTCCGTCATCATGCCGCCGCCACCGCCGCTGCCGCCAGAGGCCTTCATTCCGACGCCACCACCGGCGCCGGTGCCGGCGGTGTCAACGTTGAACGAGGACGTGGACTTGCGCGAGCCCCAAAAGGACGCCGTGTCCGCCACTTCGTGGACCATGCGCGGCGTCGAACTGCCAAAGGCGAACACGATTTGCCCGCGCTCGTGGCGCCGACGAGTCTCCATCCTGACGTCTCTCTCCTGTCGATTCGGTCCCGCCCGTAGCCGACGCAACGAGTGTCGAGATTTTCAAAGATGAGGATTTATAACAAAAAGAGGAGGAAAGGGAGAGAAGAAGAAGACATTCACGAAATCAGCCAGGGATTAACGCAGTTGCTTCAACATCAGAAGAACCAACATGCTCGGGTTGTCATTCATTAAAAAAAAAACTAAATGAGGCATGGAAGGTATACAACAAACTTTTGGACAGATTAAAATAAATAAAAAATAGATAATACAGATCGAATTTCGTTGCACACAATTTCTCATGTTCAATTAATTTTTCATTCAAATCCCGACAAAAAACGGAATCGATTGACGGTGGGAAAAAATCTATCTAAAGAAACAAGAAAAAAAAACTAACCAAAATACAGCATAAAAAATGTGTCGTTTATTCAGAAGATCTTCCTTCAAGCTTTGATTAAAAATTTTGAGATCCAAGAAAAAGAACAAATTTGATTCACTGTACAGCATTGATAAGAATAAAAACGTTTCACAAGACGTAAATGACACATAAATAACTCAAGAATGTACGTATATCAAGAAAAAATTGCTTTGGACGTGAATGTGGCCTTTATTTTCCTAGAAAAACGTCGTTCTTCTACAGTATTATGAAAAAAACTTTCATTTGATTTTACAGAAGAGCAAAAACGGGAAACCAATCGTTTTTTTTTGTTGCTGTCCATAGAATCTTCATTTGCGTAGTATGCTTTAATTTTCCCGAATATGAACAGCACAAGTTGAGGGTAGAAACTTGAATCAAAATCCGAAGGCAAACGAACGCTGATTCACATGGCCTAAAGAATAATTATTATTTTTTTGTCAAATAATGTTTGACACAGGGATTAGAAAAACCGAAATTCTAAATACAGTACATGTTCACCACGAGGTAGAAAATCGTAAACAGACAGCACCTAATCAAGATGCGAAAGAAGTGACTGCCAGTGACATCTACACACGCTAAAGCATTTACTCTCTCCATGACAAAAATGTAAACATGAAGAGTGCAAGAAAATGCACTACAATACATTCTATAATGTAGTATGAATTTCTTTCACTGCAAAGACTTTTTTTTACTCTCTATTCCAAATGAAACCAAATATTAACAGTACTGTAAAATGGTCGCGGCTTTTTCAGTATTGTTCATAACAAAACAGATGAAAATCGCCTTTCAAGACACAGTACAGTACAGTACTCAATTTTGGATCAGTCTCAAAAGAATGACCATTGTGCCAATGGCTAAGGAAAATATTTGTATTCACAAACCTGATTGCGTTTGATTATGTGCTCCTTTCGCTCTCGATCTGCTTCCACGATCGCTCGCTTTCGCTCCTCTACCTGCAAATAAATAAATATATACATATTTTGTATACAAGTATATGATGAAAATCAAGCACATATAATATATATGCAATGAAGATGGTCCCATGTCCTACGTTTCTCCGGCTTTGGTTTCTTCTTTCTGAAGAAATTATTCAAATGAAAGACTCCACGTAGAATTTACCCTGTTTGAGTTGAAACGCTCGTCTGGTGTGTAAACCTTTCACGTAAAAAAAAAATTACTGCAATTTATGTCAATAATTTAAGGGCGTCATCTGGCGTCTCATACCGTAGGCATACACAGAAATTTACACCGGTATGTTCAACTAATTATCTGTACCTATGTTCGAAACAAATTCACTTGGACCTCACGAAAATATTCCTTTCAAAACTCAAAAGTCAAAACTCTCAGTACCTAGTCCCTCTCTGAAGTCCTTCAAGAGCAATTTAATACAGACATCTGGAACTCAAAATACATTCCTCCTGAAACCTCCATAACTCAAATTTGTGGCAGCATTCGGGTTATTACAGTACTGTATTCTGAAGACCCAAGGAAGAGTAAAAATACTGTAAATGTTAAAAAATGTAAGTTGATGCATTTCAAAAGGAAGTGAGTGAGATTAATTGGGCAAACGTGTCCTTGACTCCAAGTTCAGCATCTTGTCGACTCATTTACCCAACATTGAAGGGCCAAAAGATCGCAAAAGAGTATCTTCTGGCAATTCTTTAGCATTTTCCTTCGCAAAAAAAAAGAAAGGTTTCCAAAACTTGAAAAAAATCCCACAGTTGAACTATTTTGTTTTCTTTCTGGGTCCATCGAAGTTTGAATTGAAGAGGTTTGACTGCATTCATTCGTTTTTCAGGATAACAGAACATTTACGTGGATTCGCGCAAAAAATAAGCAAGAGAATATTGTTTTTTAATATGGAAAAATGAAAAACAGGATTTGGTAGAGACAAACTAAAAATGGTTTCCCTAGCCCAAAACATTCGACTGTCGCACCGTTTTCTTTTTCTTTTTCTGGGTTCATCTGAGTTCGACTTGAAGAGGTTTAACTGCATTCGTTCGTTTTTTCAAGAGAACAAAACCTGTACTGTACTTGCATTTTCGCAATAAAAACGCAACGGAATAATTTTTACAAAATATGGTAAAATGAAGAACAGGACTTTGACGAGGTAGTTGTCTTTTTTTTTTAGAGAGGACAGAACCTATATACTTGAGTTTTCGAAAAAAAACTGAGCACGTGAATACTTTTTGTACTAAGTGAGAGACGGAAAAACAGGAATTTGAAAAGGTGTGGCCTTTTTTTAAGAGAACAGAACCTGCGCTCGAATTTGCACAAAAACTCAGCATGCGAATAATTTGTTTTAAAAATTGGCGAATGAAAAATAGTAGTTGGAAGAAGTGAGTGGCCTTTTTTTTCTTTGAAGAGAGCAAAACCTGTACTCGAATTTGCGATAAAACTGAGAAAAGTGAGACCCCGAGATGCGGGCATAATTGGTGCATCAAGAGCGTCCCCAAGTCGAAATTTCCCTATGTCGAGTCTTGTTTTCCCATAGACTTACATTGTATAATTTTTAATTGGTGTTTTGTGGAAGAAATATTCTTCAGAATTCCCTGAAAAAAAATTTTTGCCACTTGAATTTGAATTAGTGAATACATTTTCAACTCAATAAGAAAATTTGGAGCATTGAATAGTGTATCTCTGGACTGTACACTGAAATTTTGGCATCTACAAAAATAACATTCAANTGGACTGTACACTGAAATTTTGGCATCTACAAAAATAACATTCAAGTGAAAAAAATTAGAAGTCCCTCTATACTGGAGGTAATTTTTTTTTAAATTAGCTAAATGGATGGTAATTTTGTGAGAGAAATGCCCAAGAACTTTTCTTACATCAATTTTAGGGTTGGAAAAATCTGTTTCTTGTAATTTGGCCTGACATGTATTTGAAATTTCATCACAAAATGTCCCCATGTCGAGTCAGTGTCCTCATGTTAGGCCTTTTTTAATGATTTTTTCTGGGAAAATAAGTGTCCCTATGTCGAATTGTCTGCAGGTCGAGGCGTCCGCATGTGGGGGTCTCACTGTAGTTTCTTGTAAATAAAAAAAATAAAAAAGTGGAAGAAGGAAAAACAGGAGTTCGGAAAAGGTGCTTCTCTCTTCTTTTTTTTTCGAAGAGAGCAGAACCTGTAATTGAATTTGCCCAAAAACTAAGCAAGTGAATAATCTCTTGTAAAAAGGAAAAAAAATGGGAGAATGAAGAAAAGAATATTGAAAGTGATGGGGTATTTTTCATACCTGAAGGCGGCGCTGGGATTCGCGACTGCGGACCTCTTCAATGTGGCGCCGGCGCTCTTCCTCTTGCTGTTCGCGGAATCGTTCGGCAGCAAGTGCATGCTGCTTCAACTCGTCCAATTTTTTGCGGCGGTCCTCTTCTTGCTTTTCGCGAATTTGTCGCACTTTTTCCTCGCGTTCGCGTTCTTTTGCACTGCCCGGCCGACCGGCTGCCGGATCCCCATCTGAATCGAACCCGAAAAAAAAAAAAGCAACAGATGTCAGACATGATCATTCATCTCAATGGGGAAACTCTCATAAGCAAGCAAATAAACATTCAATTGAAGAAAAAAAGCACATGAAATACTTTCCCAAAGCCCATCATGCAATTATTACGAGACCATTCACCAAATTTGCAGGGTTAACGCTGACACGAAATAATTTCAAAAAGCCGAATTTGGCGATGATTTCTTCCTCGAAACTTTCACTTATTTTCTTTTTAAAAAAAATAGCACAAAAGAAGAGCCACAGTGGAAGTGAAAATCCAAATAGGCCTTCAAACAGCAAAGAAAAATCTCAATTTTTCAAAAGCCATAAATTTTCCAAGAACTTTCACTAAAGTCATTTTACCCAATTTGCTGAGTACAGTATAAAGTTGCATAAATTGACACGGAAGAATTCCACCCCTTAAATGCAGCAAGGATCGTTCTTGGAAACTTGGATTCCCTTTTTACTTTTACAAAATTAGCTCAAGATAATATTTAAAAAATTGCACGGAACAACGATTAAGCATCAACTTTTCCAAAAAGCCTGTCACGAAATCAACTGCATGTTTAAAACTAATTTCATCTCAAAACCACAATTGCTTCCATTAATTTCTCATTGACATTGGTGACAAGGTTCGATAGAAAACAGGATTTAAGTTACCGTTTTATTTTTAAACGGAAATCCCTCACGGCAAAAAATGAGAAATTTTTTTCACTTCGAAGTTTAACTTCCTGACAGAAATGTCCACACTGTAACTCAATTTCATACCGAGCAATTCGCACCAACTTCGATTTAAAATACCAAGAAAGATGATAATAACCAATTGAATAAGATTGTTTTTTTTTCTACAGTAAAGTGGAACTGATAATTTTGTGTTACGTTTGTCGAGACTTAAAATAGCTCGGTTTCTGCTGGTGCACTTTGATCATCTAAATTGAAATTATTATTTTTTCGCGTTCGCCATCAACTGAAAATTGCGATAAATTTGAATTTTAATAATTTCACGAAGTTCACAACAATACGAATATTTCGCTGCTTGAAAAAAAAAATCACGTTCGTTTCTAAACCATTAATGTCATCTCAGCATATGATCGGCATCTTGAGATTGGACTCAACACCTAAGATTCGATCTAAAACAAATCTTATCCGGGACTCGCAAAGCGGAAATTGAATCTAACACGCAAGTCATCACGATCCTCATTCGCATATCCGAAAAAGGGGCCAGTCTGGCATCACGCCTTTCGAATAATGGAAAAAAAATTAATAAAAAATTATCAAAACGACACCAGAGGCAATTCATGCATAAAAACATGGGCTCGGCACCGAAAAAAAAAGCCCACGCGATAATTCGCCGAGGAAAAGAAAACAATACCATAGAAAGAACTACACACACACACACACACCAGCACCCACATCTTCATTTTTACCGGCGACGAATTGGGGAAGACGGGGATTTGCCAACAAAAATAAGTGTCAACTAGGGACTTGGAAGGAGTCTCGTTGATGGATGGATGGAAACCCTTCAAGAACGAGCCACACCAGAAAAGGACCGGGTTTTTTTTTTTGGTCTTCGTTTTCTTTTTGTGTGTTTTAAAAAGACTAATAAGGAAAATGGAATCCGAAAAATCGCTGGTGCGAGAACCAGCCCAGGAAAAACCCGATCAGTATTTCCTTAAAAAATCTGCCCCACGAAACCGACGACCTTTCTCCTAAATGCGTTTTTTTTTTTGTTGGCGTTGGAATACTTCCAGAAAAGCTTGGGGGAAAAAAACCTTCCAGATCTTCATGGATACAGTTCTAATTTTGAAGAAAAATTCAGCTGCATCAATTATCCGACTTATTCTCAATTCATGAAGGATATTAATTTTTTTTCGGTGAATAAATTAGAAACCAGCATTTTTGTGGAGTGGATTCAACATATTGTCTTCTTCGAAAGGATCAACTTTTCCCGGAATAGTTTGTTTAAAAGACCTCGGTTTATTTGTTGAAAAAAAGGCAACAACAAATAACCAAAACATATTCACGTTTAAAAATGGATGAACAATGGAAAAATTTGCAGAAGACATACACGGAATTTTCACTTTTCCCCCCACCAACTTCATCCAAAATTGGTTGATCCATCATTAATTTAATTTCACAAAGAGGAGCACGAAAAATTATGGAGCTCGTCAAAACATCAAAACCAACAAGAAGTCCTTCTCAACAACTTTTCGAACAAATGAAAAAAAAAATTTTTTTTAATGAAACAAAAGTTTTTTTTATACTTTCGTCGATGTTTCTTTTTTATTCACAAGATTCGAATTAAAAGGATCATAAATGAGAATATTCGCTTTGAAGAATTGCGATTTCAGCCCCTTTCATGGGATTTTAAGAGAATGCTAATTACACCGAAGCCGCGATATTCTGCATAAAATGAAAGCAGTTCGTCAGCAGGGCTACAAAAAAAAAACATGAATATAAAAACTTCAAAAATATACAGATAAAGAGGACGCAGACAAACGCACGATGTCCGCGACACAAAATTCATTCGATACTAAACAACATTTCCAACTTCCTAAACGTGAAAAAGTCGATCACAACGGAAACACAAATAAGAGGAAAAGACTCTTCTG